TTGCATACCAGCTGGCCCAAGAGATGAAATGAATAGCAACGTGGGTAAGCTAGAATGCCTGCATTTCTATGCCGGTTCTTGGCACGTGTTATCAACATCTACGCGGAAAACAACTGTTAAGCCTGCGGACGAACCTCAGTAAGAAATCTATCGGACGCTTTTCTGGCGACAAGACCCTAGATCATTTTTGTGATCACAAAATTGTAAGAAGACAAAGATGTAATAGATTCTGAAATATTAATAGGGTTTTCCACAGCTCTAACATCTAGTGGATAACTCTAAAGCATTTCAGGCCTTCAAATAATTTTAGTCGCTTCAGACGCCTGAGTTTGTCACTTTTTAAAGTTCTTCTTCTATACCTGATTATTAGCAAAGGTCCGAAACAATTTTAAGTCAGGCTTGTTTCTTGTTTTTAACGATAAAAAGTGTACGCCCCTTTAGTTTTGGAACTGCATCGTAAGAAAATTTATGCTTTATTGGCTAAAAGAAGTTGATGGAACCTGCTAGAGATTTACAATAAGATCCATAAGGCTATGGGAGTTCTTATTTAGTGAAGCTCCAAATTCTGCAGGTGCCGCACGTCGGTCAAAATCAGTCAAGCAGGAGACTTCCCCTCCCCTTGAGTTTAATTCACGAAATGAAGACAATCATTGCTAAAAGTAGACAAAAACTATTGTAAAAAAAATGAAGGTCTTTCTCACGATCTTGTCATGCTATCAATCATAACAAGACTGTAAAAGAAACGTTGACAACAAAAGTACCTCATCAGTGCAAAACAACGAAAAAACGATTCGTGCACACGATTTAATGGAAGCGAATTGCATCGCGCGCATCACAGTCAGAGTTTGAAGTGCACAAGGCAAAAACATTTATATCAGTGATGCATTTCTTAAACTATCACTGATTTTGTTAATTTTGGGTCTTTTACGTCCTGAAGGCTCCCGCGGTGCCCATTTTCGATTGCGCTCAAAATTAGCTTTTTTGCGTAAACATTGTTAGGTTTTTTGTAAACATTAAATCTTGAATGAAAAATATCGTATTGCTTCTTTCTGTTTACCATTCAAGCATTGGCTTTTGGATATTACATGCCTACTTAAACGAAAGTGGACTATTAGCATGCAGACACCAAGGTAACGCCGAGCGGCCGCGGTAGAAGCGTCAGAGAATATGTCGCCTCCATTCAAATAACGTGTAATTTTGCTGTGATTTGGCAACTTAATGATGGTCAGTATTTAGGAAGAGAAATGTTTCAGAGGCTAAGCTGACGAGGTTTTCATGGCATGTCGACGTAAAGTGCTGCTAAGTTATCCTAGGAAAAGTTTCAAGGTAAAAGTACGCTTTGGGTATTTGAACTCGTCAAATACAGTCAAAATATTTTAAATTGCTTTAAACCCTGGGAAATTGGAGACATTAATTCTTCAACGTTATTAGGGCGTCGTAGTAGCAAGTTTCCTTTTAAAAAGATTAGTAATCTAACATGTTATGTTCATTTTTATCAAATGAATGAAATGATTCATGATTGCGCAAGTAGCGTCGAAAACAAAATTACTAATGAACTAAAAAATTATCCCTTACATGATTCTTTAAGAGATACAAAAATTGAATTTTCTTATTGTACACACAAATCAGTGTTATGAGAGAAATATTTACTTAAGACGTCCTGTTCAGGAAATTTACTTACTTATAAGTTCAATACTAACAAAAGCATTTGTTATATGAAAACCCATCAAAGGGAACCTAAAGCAGAAAATTAGCTAGATAAAAGAGGTGCTTCATGCTTCATATAAATCATAGGAGTAAACTTCACTGGGAAGCTAAAGGAACAAGCAAGCATTTTAATAATGCAGATCAATAATCAAAGATGGACACAGGTGAATCAATTCAAAATATTCTCCATTTATTGACCTCAAACAATCCTCTAAAGGGATTTCTTAAAAATTGTCAGAAAATTGCTTAGAGTACTGGCTATGGGTGTATTGCCTGTTTTCAAAGTTGTATATACTCTTGCATAAGTGTTGTTACTTCATTAAAAATAACGAAATATTTTGCCCGCGAAACTGGAGTGGGGGCTGCCGAACACTAACACTCATTTTTTCCAACCATCGATTTTCTCTGTAGAAACAGAGAGAAAAACCTCATCGAAATACTTTCCTTTGTTCGGCACTGTTGTTATGTGAACTCAGTCATTCTTGAACCATGCGCCATCTAAATTGACAGGTAGTATCTTATACGGGATTATCTTATATTTTGCATCTCGTCATTATGAGCACTTTTCAGTGTGAAATCCATTTTTGTTTCAGATATGACAACTTATCAACAGTTTAACAAGTTTAATTCACACCACTGTACCATTTTAAATTTACACAACTGTGTTTACTTAACATAAGAACATTAACCCGGAAGGGTCTTTTCGTTGTTTGAGCCGATATGAATGCCGGAAAAGCCGAACCAGTGTCTCAGTACATACCACCTCGACAAAGATAGATTGATTTTGTAACAGTATACAAGTGAGAAATTACTTGCCTTTAAGTGTTTGTTAAATACCTTGCTTGTTTCCCAGCGTTTTTCTGCAACATTGGAGTGGGTGATACTATCCAATACTCGTTGGAAGATGGTATCTGCAAACGTTAATATCCGAGAGTGTTTCTCCTTCATGGAAAATTCTTAACGAAACTTAACAAACTTCCGCGAAAATATGTAATGAAAAACCTAAAGACCCTTATAAAATCATTATCAGCTCCGTAAGTAGTGCAGACCCTGAGGCGGAATCATTCAGATGGGTCATTATAAAAACCTCATGCTTTTAAGCCCATGATGTGTTACATAATTTCTTGTTTCCCGGTCCTCTATCATCGTGCCCTTCATATTATAGAATAAGGACATTACTGAAATACTCATTTCCACCGAATGCTGACGGTTTATTAGCACTACAGTCACGAAACTTGGGAAGGAAAGAAATTTAATTCCTGAAACACTTTTGAAGGCAATTCGTCACTGTGGCTTCCGGAAAGGGCGATAAAAATAATGAAATTACCTCTATCAAATAAGTGTCTTCGGTCCTCCTTAATTGGCCTCACCATTAATTAATTACTTCGTGAACAGGTTGAAAGTGCTTCATACCGGTATAGAAATTTCTTGGAGTAGACGTTGTTTGTACCAAAAAAAAAATGGCTTCGCAAACACAAACTGAAGTCCTGAACAAACTGGAGCGAGGTGCCAAGTCGCGTCGAGTGTTGGCGGGAAAATGCGCGACTGCGTGCACAGCGTGTGGCGGGAATATGTGTGAAATGCTGGACAGACAGTCAGCGGTCAACAAACAAGATTTATAAGGTCGGTTTCTTTGGTCGGTTTCAGTTTTCAGAGTTCAGATATCTGCATACATCTGCAAACATTTCCAGCTGTGGTAGGCTCTATTTGGATTTAGAGCCGAAAATTGAAAAAAGGAGATCAGTAAGTTAATCGTCTTTTGTGTTATTCGTTTAGTTACGGTTGGATTAATGAAGGTTTTATGTTAGAGTTTAATGTTTCATCGTAAAAATGACTTAATCTTGATATGATCATTTTAATACGACCAATTGCAAACTTTAAAGTTTATCACATGGAAGGATTTGTTCAGCTAAGACTTAAGTCGTTGATCGCCTTTGAATGAGGATTTCTTCTTGCGGAAATGCATGTTCACGCACTTACGATGACACAAATTCCATTGCATTGAAATAAAAACGAACAGCGCAAAGGCCAGTTCTCCCAAAAGTCTTTAGACAAGATGCACCAAAAAGGTCTTGTGAAGAGGTTTTGCAGAAAAATCACGCTTAGAAGCTTTTGGCGTTACACTGAAACAAGTTTTTAATCTATCTTTTATAAATAGCTTTACATTAAACTGCTAGCTGTGCATGGCGGCGGTTGCTTTTGTTCCGTACATCCGTACAGAACGTGTGGTCCGTCCGCCGAGAGAAGTGTACAAAAACTCGTTGAAAATCATGTTCATGCAAGTGTAGAACTTGATAGGGGAAAAAACTTCGTTCCACCCGGCTGAAGAGAAAGACGAGAAAGTCATTTTCAATTTGTAAACTTTGACCTGGCAAGTTTCTATTCACAAATTACGGTATCATCATATCGATAGTTTTTTCAGTTGACAAACGGCAGAACTGACTGGAAAAAAATGTGAAACACATGTCGAGAAAAAATTCATATCTTGCGCGTTTCGTGTAGTCCTAGCTATGGAAATACTGTTCAGTTTTGTTTTCAAAGGAGAAGGTTTATAAGTTTACCTCCGGTTTGCTTAAATAAGCCTTGCAGAAGATGCCGAATTTCCCCTTTTTTATATTTGACAGTCAGCGGAAAACGTCGTTGTTAATTAACGTACAATGCTAACTGGAGTCCCTCAGGTAAATATTGTTTCCGATTTAAAGAAGGATGTGCAAATCTGTTTCAGGATTAATAAAGAGTTATTTCCTGTAGTTTGTTTTTGATAACATAACATTTGTTCTATGTACCACTGGTAACGATTTGATATTTGTCAACGGTGTAAGCAGAAACAAACCCTCCAAGACGTCTAACTTTTGTGTTACGTCACGTGAGAAATACTCATAATCTGCACTTGTGAATTTAAAAAAACAATCTTGTGAGGAATAAGGTCACTCAGATCACCAGCATATGTTATCGAATGTTCTTATTATCGTAAAAAAATAGTTACTGTTAAATGAAACCACGTATGCAACCATTAACTTAAATGGCATTTTTTTCAAAAGAAAAAACCCTTTACGACATAAATAATACAATGTACGTTAAGACCACCGTGGTTGCGTTAGAAACAGGCCCTGGATTGGATATGCGTCATCTGCGGGCATTTAATGAAGCCGGAAAGTCTGTTTATCGTCAAAATTAATGACCATTAATCCGAAACCCAACATTTTTGCCCGATATTTGTCGAGATAACGATCGTATTATTATCTTGAAGTATAGACCATAATTGGATGCAAAAAGAAGCCAGTTGAAAAAGAGATGTATTGTGACAAGCTGAGACTATACTTGCCCAGAGTCCTTCATGCTTGCTCGTTCAAACTACTGTTCTCTGAAAGACGTTGTAAAAAGCGGACAGACCACTGCTAATTTCAATAACCTACTACTACGACTGTGCAGTTCCTCGCAAGGTCAGATTAACTTTATTTTCAACTGCAACAAGATAGAGCAAGTTTCTCGGTCAGATTTCTGTTTAGACGTCCATGGAGCACTGTTATTCCGGTCTAAGGTGACAGGCGGATTGTACGGTTGACAGTCCAGTGGTAATTATGTTGTTTTAACTTGCACAAGTGAAGCCTCACACGCGACTGCAAAGTCATAAACATGTGCTACAACAAAACTGCATGAATCTAATAAGGTATGTTTAAGCGCTTATCATTTCTTAGTTAATCGCTCTTTGTTTGTTAACAGTTCATAAAACATCTTTGTGGTGTTTCTTTGAACTATGGCAGCGTGAGACTTCTACATATTACATGAAGGAAGGCTCTCTAAGAGGTTTTTTTGAGTGAGCCTTTTCACAAGGGGGCGTCTACCAGATTCCATTAGAAGCTATCAAAACACTTTATCTCTAGATATAAATACACTGCTTGAAGCGCGCGTCGCCGCGAACTGCGCCCATTATTGAATACTTCGAGTAGATTCAAGATTATTACATTGATTTGTGTTTTCTAAGAAAGCTTTCTCGGTCCCCTGTAAACATTTGAGCCCATTTCTGTCTCACACGTCTAGGGGGTCGGAGAATTAACTCTTCAAATAGGCTGGAAGAATGGTGTTAGATACAAGTCTTCCGCTGTTTTTCATTGTGCACTCATACTTTTCTGTACTGTATGCACAATACCACTTGCCTGCTAGACGTGACTGTCCTTAATGCAAGCTCATATCTTCCGTCTGTAAAATATTGGACTTGCTCAGCTCGAAATAGTCAACAGACTTCAGGCGCCTTGTTAAAAGTAGTGAATAACAGAATTCTTTCCGTAATAATTTTGTCACGTTAAAATTTGTCACCTAGCCTGCGGTCAGGTCGCAAAATAGTGAAGTACAGTGGAACTACGCCAAGGGAAGGCACAAATTTGTTCGCTCTATTAAACGAGGTTTCATCATATCGAGGTTCTTTTTCATATAACTGGGGTAAATAGAATCGTTCGTTTAATTTACTGAAGACTTCATTATATAGAGGTTCGTTGTATCGAGGTTTCCTAAGCTTGTAAAGTTTCAAGGCCGCCAGTTCGGAAATATAAATTAAATTTGGTGTTGAAAGTGCTCTAAACTTAGAAGAAAAAACCCATGGCCTTGGTCACAATACACTCTGGCTCGTTTCGCGAAGGACTAAAGCATCAGTAAGATTTTTTTGCGGCGATGAAGTTTAAAATGGCAGATAAGTAACTGATACAACAGCAATGATAACTTTAGTCTGAGTTTTTATACTTTGACAAGCATGATCATTACAGAAAAGGAAGATTATTTCTCCTTTAAGTGCCATTACTGAACCGTTAAAAGCGATAAAGATGTAAATTGAGCTTTTTATAGCGTAGTGATAACTGCGAAAGTGAAACATACTTTAAAAACAAGTGTGTGAATTTATTTATGTGGAATTTCTAAGAAATGTCATAATTATGTAACTAGCTTTAGATTTGACTCTCAGACCTTCGACAGGAAAATAGTATAACAAACAATATACTTAAGTGACATTCTACAACAGTGCACTACAGACACACTACACTTTGCTGAAGAGGCGCGAAAATCTAACGAGTCGCCATCTTGTAGACTCAACATCCATAATGCACAGCGATCGCGGAATGACCCAATACGTGGATAAGTTCTCCGCGGAAATTGTGGAACGCAAGGCGTGTCTGTAACACCCCAGGATTGTCAAGAAGGGCCAATTTACCGGCACGTGGACAAAACACCATTTCGTCCAGGGTGGTCTTTCAATCATAACTGTTTTTAAAATCTTACGCGGAGCTGACAAATCAAAACCCGTCGCGGCTACAATCGTCAACGGACACGGTGTTTTGTTTGTTTTTATTACGCGGGGTTTTCCTAATTGCATGATATGCTCACCGCTTGATTATTTAAACTGCGAAAATATTTGCTTTGGAAGCGTATCTTTTGATTTGAAATTTGCTTTTTGCGGTCATCGGGAGCAGGATACAGGGGAAAACCGAGACAAAAGGTCAGCTATTGTTTTAATAACAAAGTGCCCAATTGATCACATCTGCTTATCGCGGTTTTAGTAGTTATGAAAATCCATTCGGACGCTGCACAAATGACATTTTTAGGCAGAAAATTTCGATGTCTTACGCATTGCTTGGCTGGACTTCTTGTGTGCAGTGTCTTTCTTAATCATTGTTGTCCGCGCGTGTGGTCTCAAGGTAAAATGTGTGCGAACAAGGCCTGTAATGGAGCCGATAACCTAACGAGACACTTTTACGTGTCATAAAAATAATGGAAAGGTGAAACAACATGGAACGAATGGTAAAGTCTCACAAGCCTGGCCTGTAGGTCTTATCAATGTAGTGTAGGTAACGTTCCAAGAATAGCCTTATTCCGGGCCTGCACTCTATTAGACTGGACAACTTTATGGCTGACTGCCTTTCGGAAGCTTTTGTTAATTGATATTAACCTAACAACGACACAATTGCACATATAAAGTGCAACGATCGGCCAGTGAGTCGTACACAGTTCTTTTATACTATTAGTATTACTACTATTCGCTTTGTGGTTGTGCATTTAAGCTCAATCAGCGGTCCATTAATACAGTCTGTGACACTGATCTAATGATTAGCCTAAGAGGATCGTAATTCACCTTACATCTAGTATTTACCGCATGACTTAGCGCACAGCGTAGCGAAGTGGAAGATCATTGTTGATTCAGCGTTTTTATTTAAAGAATTTACAAAATCGCGAAGTTCACCAAAGCGTGGTGAAAACAATGAGCGTGATTTTCACATGACATCAATTCTTTTAATAAACGCGCGACAGTGTTTAGAAAGCGAAAATTCACAATTACTTAGCACAATAATAAATTACCTTTTGTATTAGTCTGTTCCTTTCGAGGTCTCGCTGTCACTTTTTTTTGTTTACAACAATAGAAGTCAACAACCGGTCGTGTGAAATTCCCTTGCTTCGGTGCCTCATCGGAACTGTATACGTCAAAGTGGCAGTTAGCGCAAAGGAGGCAAAAATTGTCCGTGTAAAAATTCCTGGGGACTCCCCCGCCCTCGAAATGTCACATGAATCAATAATAATAATAGAGCAGATCCTGTTGCAATACCGTAGGCCACAATCCACTCGATGAAGTTTGATCAAGAATGAATGAATGAGGAACACATGGAACTATCAGACTGCTCTTTTAGCTTTGTAGGCAGGAAGAATATACTTCTGTTAGCTCAGAAATCTTGTAATTCGTCACTGTACGATTTTTGGTGAGTACGATTAAGAGTGTTTCTTTAAATCTTTCAAGTTTTGACGTTTAGCCAACACTTTAGAAGTGACTTTTTTATATCGGTGACTTGTTTAGTTGGGCATTTGTTTAGGCTTTCGCCGCAAAGGAAACACAGTCACACACAAGAGACGACCAATTTAATTGGATTGATTTTCAGCGCGTTCGGTTCTAGGAATTTCCGTGTCGAAGCTTTAAAGAAAATGTTATAATCTGACTTGAAATAGAAGCAAGCTGTTTTTGAATGTTTGTTTCCTGTATTGCCAGGAATAAGGAAAAAATAGCAATAATTTAACCGCCATCCCGCGATAATATAACCAATTGTCGACAAAAGAGTGTGAGGCATCGATCAAGCAGTGAGATTCTAAAGATTTCGTTTTCACAAGGATAAAATCGTGCCCTTTTGCAAGGACGCTTACTCTGCTATCTCTCCTATGGCATGCACGGCTGCCTCGACAAGCCCCTACACGTCCGGTACTTATAACCTACTATCTGCGGCAATTCTATCCAAAAAGCGCGCGCCGGTTTTGGGCTGCTAAATAAAATCACAGCACTCAGTGACCCTCGAGTGCATTGAAAGGCGTTTAAAAGAGTTCCGAAAGAATTCAGGGACATGATATTCCTGCAGTCTATATGATATTTTGAGAACCGCAGGAAATAAACATTTTGTGTACCATCCAAATCAACGAGCCGTGAAACAGCCAACAGCTGGCAGCGCTAGGGCCGGCTTGCGTTACAAATTCCAAAGAACCGACTTGCGATCTAGCTCGGCGATCTGAAAACGCGATTGCCTTCCGCTTTCCAGTTGCACGGTGACAATTGACAACTGGATCGTATAGGGAAGCTGATATTTACGTAACCACAATTTAATCACGTTTATCTGTCTTCATGCTCTTTCAGGCTGAACGTTGAGAAACTGCTGCACGTCGAACGGCCACAACACTCGAGTGTTTTTTATCGCACTCAGTAAAGATTATACTTTAAATGAGGTGGGCACGAAACTCATGCATTTGAGAGAATTCCCTCGGCAGTCACTGGCCGCATTTGTGAAAGGAAATCAGCGCGTAAATCTTGGGATCCTTGTGCTTTTCCTTTGGGCCTCATTGTTACCTCTGGTAAGTATTAAAATTTCTATATTTTGTTTCGCGCGCTCTTTAAATTTATTTCTCCTCTGCTCTTCGTTCCGCTGACTGTACAGTAATAGAGTAGCTTGGTAATTGCGCGGTAGGGCTCGGTTTCCTTCAATGAAGAGGAAAATATTAAGGATCGATTGATCAAATTCCCAGAGATATCCTGGCAATAATCAGCAATAATTTACCTTTCGAGCAGTATTGGGCCATTTCTCGCACCATTAGCATTTTATCGCCTGCAAGATTTTTATCTATATATGAGTACCTGCCTTGTCTTTTTTTTTTCCTCAAATGGTATGCTAAAAAACTATTCAAAAAACGTCTGTACACCTCACGCAGGGAAATTCTTTAACAGCACTTCGAAAGAGAATAGAACACGCAGTTGGAGACGCGCGCGCGCGTTCCACGCGAACTTTTCTCTCTTGGGTGAACCTTTCGTGTTCGGAATTTCCTGTTATTGAAATGCAGGTTTTATACGCACTAAATCAAATTTGAGCTGAGCAGTAGGCAGATACTCATGAGACCCTTCAACTGTTGCTTGCAAGAGTTCGAAACTGAAAAGAATTGAATTGCTACTTTCAATTAAGTGCATTTAATATCGTGGATAACCGATTGACATGGCACGCAAGAACGGTTATCGAGTCACTTTACTCTCTCGGTAAATTCCTTTTAGTTTAAAAGCTTTCTGTTTTTGTTGTCTTTTTCTTGCTGTTTTTGTTTTTGAATTGGGCGACAGCGTATCTCAATCATCGCTTTTATTATGGCGTGTAGCATCACAAATGAACTCGAAGCAGAGAAACGTTTCTTCTCGCGGAACAACGCTCCGATTATAAGTTGCCGGTTTTTTACATAATTGCTATAATTATGTCTTTATTTCCCCTTTTGTCTTTATGGATTCGTGTTTTGATATTATGATTTGGTGAATGCAAATGTGGATTGTGAAAATACTTACAGTCATCCAGTGCTAGCTAAGATCGGGTGGTTCGATTGTAAAGATACTTGTTAAGTTCAGTACTGATTAATATCTTCTGGAGATGGTGATCCTTGAGTATCACAAGTTCAAATCAGTTCGATCGATTTTCGAATGTACGAGGTTATCTTCGTCTGAACTATGGTTTAGAACCTGTCTCTCCCAATTAAAATCAACAAATATCTTCTACAATGGCAAATCATAATTTTATAAATACAAAGTACATTAGAGAGAAATCCACAGCTATCGCTCAAGATCAAGGTGTGCACGTTAACGTTATTAAGGCTTGGTTAGATACCAGCCATTGATACAAGACGCTTAACCCTTTAAGCCCCAATATCCACAAACAAATTCTCCAGACTTATCTCCATACATTTGTTTTAAGAATAGTTGAGAGAATTTGATTTAAGATCAAAGCATTCTCTCTTTGATAATCAATTTAGCAATTCTCATAACCTTTACTCTTGATGATCTGCTGATGTTGTTAGGAGAAAATTGATGTTGGTCACTCTTGGGACCTAAAGGGGAAAAGAACGAAGCATCAGTTATGTTTGCTTTTTCCATATTCTATGCGTCAAACTTTAAGAATGAGAAAACTACATTCACGGTAACATATGAAAAGCGTTGGCCAACAGTCCAAACCACCGGTTATCTGTTGTTGAAGTGGTGGATTACGATATTCAGGCGATAAACTAGCTACCTCTGTATGTAGTGGATAAGCGAGTCCTGTTATAAGACTTATCCTTTGAGTGGGTGGATCTACGTTTCCAACGAGTAGATCTTATGCTATGTGGTCAATTTACAGCTAATGGTAGTTTTTAATTCTAGTGGAGCGCGAGGGCGAGGGCGGAGGGCTGAAGCCGGGTACGACTGAAATGATCGCTGTGCCATTCATTTGACTTCATCTTATATCTGCGTTTTCTTGGTTTTGTTTTTATTTTTGTTATTCAAGTGTCAGGGAACGGGAATGATCGAAGTACATTTCCTCAACTATGCAAATCCCAGGCAGACCGACCATCAAAACAGATGCTGTAGCGGGCCTGAGGTCCAGGGCAGATGCTCTTCACCCTGCAGGACATTATTCACAGTCTGCGTCGGTTTTTTACATAACATACAAGGCTGCTTCTTGGGAATGAAGTCCTCGGGCATCCTTGGTAACAGCTCGTTCGTTATCCCATCCAATAGCTTGTTGCAGATACCATGGCAATCCATCCAATCGTGGCCGGTAAGAATAAACCTCTCTTCTAATGGAACCATCCCATTAGAGGGTACTTGTTAATGACAATCATTGTCAAAAGTTTTGGGAAGGCTACTACTTTTTACGTCTTTTTTTGTTTTTTTCCCCTTACCCCCGGTGCGCCTAATAGTTCTGTTATATCCCAACACTGAATTGGCTGGGCGGGTAGTACTAGCAAAACGGAAAACCCATCTTCTTTTTGAACAAGTTGGACAACCCTTCCTGAGTACTTTTCTCTGACATTGTAGTTTTATTCGCGGAGTTTCCGAGCTTTTCCAAGTTTTGAGGTCTTTGAATCTTTGTCAAAAATATTTTGTCCAAGGAACCCCTGACTAGGGGTACCAATGTCTGTTTAATATGTATTTTTAATTAGACTGTTTTACCAGACTTTCGCTTTCGCGATACTTCAATAGTCTTTTCGACATTTCATTTTAAAACCTTAAGTTGTGAAATATAATTTCACCCCTTAAGACTGCGAGTAAACTTGACTTTCGAACTCTGACGAGAGTGAAAAATTGAAATCGAAGAAATAAGTTCGAATATCGGAAAACGAAAAGTGTACCAGGCAACACTGTCCTTCACAATTAATTGATACCACAGGATTTTCCGCAAAAGTGAATGCTTCAGAAGAAATAACTCCGATTTACTGCATACCGTAGGAGTAAAAACGAAAAAAAAACAGACAGTTGATTTCAGATCGTACTTTTTTCTTTTTTAAGACGGATGTTGATACGTTCTATACTTCTATTTTGAGGATATTTAATGGGGCGTATTATTGTGTTTGTTACTAGAATTTCCGCTTGAAAAAGAGCCTTATTTTTCGTGGGAAATTTCAGTTTCGATAGGTCTCCACAAACTTGTAATTATTTCCTCTTATTTTGTGAATAGTTTCCGTATTGTCTAAATAGACAATTTTTTTAGGTTCCTTTTGGAAATTGAAAAGCAAATGGAGTGACGTGATGTGCTGTAGCTCTTAGTTGCTTTTTAAACTTTTCCCGGAACTTCCCTTCCTACCCGTTAAGAGGCTTAGTCGAGGATAAAACACAACAGCGTTTATGCACTGTTAGTGTTTGGGTTTCTTTTTATTAGTGCAGCTTCCGAGAGGAAAAATCCTAATGTCGAACAGTCGTTCCCTTCGTCTCTATTTTAATCTGTTTAGCAAATTTTAGACTTGGAACGCGCGACGGCGATGAAAATATTGCAGAAGCGAGGACCACCGGCCTTGTTTCAGTGCAACAATAGTGTAAAATCACTTCAATCTATAAGACTCGATTTATTTTGAACGGAAGGAAATGGGTTGTCGTCTTAATGTCGAGCGAGGAAACGCAACTTATTTTACTGTAATACGAGGAACGCCAACCACAAAGGCCGTATAAACATCTTCTTAGTCTGGAGTCTAGATTTTCAGGTTCGTGTCAATGTAACAGACTTTTTTAACTACCCGTTGTTACTTCTTTATACTTGGCCTAGACTGGCCTTCTCGCAGAATCCTTTCCCCCCCTCTCGTTGGAAAGTTTCTAATTAGAGAAGGCTTGCGAGTTCTGTATGTTTTCAAGTCTCCACAAAATAGTATTCGTCAACGTTGATTTTGTTGACCCCTTTTTAACGTCGGACCAATTTGCGGACGGACAATGCATGGGAAATAGTCATTTGAAATTTCTCACGGCCGGATGAGGTGCTGTCACATAAGCAATATACTGGGCTATTTTCGTATTTTCCGTTGTGATGTGATGTAAGATAAAATGAATTTGAAAATTTCCCATGCGAGAACGTCTGATATTGAAGCCCGATACGTGGGAGTCAATGTTGGTCGGCCATGTTTGATTTGCACATGATCACAGAAGATTGTCTTAATGGACAAAATCCTACATTCAACCGAAGCATTTAAAAAGAAACTATGAAGTGGTATGTTCTTACAGTGCTGTCTAAGGTGGTTTTACTTTAATTTACTTGTCTGTTGCTGTTGTCTGTAGTATAGAATAAGTTTTTGTTTTTCTCGGTCAGTGTTTATCCTAAATGATCACCAAGAATTAATACGGCTTAAAAGTCCAGCTGAAGTGTTTGTGTCAAAAACGAAACACTAGTTCACTGACAGCCGCCTGGACTTGTCAAAATTTCTGTATTAGTACACTGAAAGAAATCAAGAGTATCTTTGACCAAGGACGGCAAGATGGAAGTAGACTATTACCTTAAAGCGTCTGACAGAAGTTGTTACTATTGGAAGAGGAAATCGCTTTATCTAAACTATTGACTATGGTTCCGCTTGCAACTGAAGAATGAATTGATCTCTTTCTCTCTCTCTTTTTTTGTTTTTGGTGTTTTTCGTTTTTCTTGCATTAGTGAGTGTACTTCAAAATTCTAGCTTAGTTTACTCAAAACGTGGGGAGATTATCTGAAAGTTATGTCACGTTGTAGGCTCTTTGTTGTTGGTAGTGACCTTTGCACGCGCCACTTTACTTACGCATAAATATTGCAATTTGTTAAAGCGTTCTAAGCTGCTTATCGAACATTACATCGATTTCTGTATTCTCATATAATTTCCTAACATTTGTTGCGTGTGCCAATCAGTATCAAGTGTTAATTGCTCTCTCGCGCGAATTTGTAGTGTGAAAGAATCGAGTATGTAAAAACATTCAGAGCATAACTCATATTTTTGTGTCTTTGCTTTACAGGGCTCATTCCAGCTCGTGGTCAGAGCTGAACATCAAGGTAAGCGAATGTGTTCGGTTTTTGTCTAGTGCCTATTGAATTTCAATGTATTTTTTGCCTGTTAGAGAGCTTTGTGCGTGAAGTTTTGAGCCTTAACATTAACTGCTCTGGAATGTTGCAGCATGGAAGGTAATGAATGTGGGTGTTTCAGACGCGATAACCCTTTCATTACTGGGATTAAAATTTACTCTCGCCTCACAAAATAGGTCATTTCGGCACGCGAAAGGTTATCTCTTGCATCCAGACTTCATGAACAGGATATCATTTAAATCGCTAACAACTTCCATTCAACTCTCAAAAAAGCACGGTGTCGATGAATGCTATTCGTGTGTAGACAGTAAACATTTAGTGAGTGAGGGTATTCTCTCGCGGAAAAGGTCATTAATTCGATATCCGTTTGACATGCTACACGGCAATAAAAGTGCAGTGATTTCCTTCAGCAAAAGCTTTTAAGTACCAACGATTCAAAAATTTCACTTTAGATTGACATTCTGTGGCGTTTGTGTGTGTATACAATAATTATAAAACCATTTGCTCCTGGAGAGAATCTTTGCTGTCATTTGTTGTTTCAGTAAAGTCATTGTTGATTTTACACGCAAGCGAGTAACCCCCAGGATTGATTTGATGGCTTCATAAATGCCCGCTCAGCGATTCCAAATATTGAAGAATCCTCCAGGTCGTCTCCAGTGTCTCAAAGCTGAATAAGTTCTTTCTTTCCTAAATTATGTCTAGTATATAGAGGCATCCAGGAAGTGAAGACACGTTGTTGTTAGCTTTTGCAGTTAATTGGCCCCATGATTTTTTTATGGGCGTAATTTTAACCTTTAGTTCCTGTTCAGTCTTGAAAAATCACGTAATTTTGTTGTTGTTTTAGCTTCTAAATCCAGCCATAAGGTCGTGTCGGTACATCTTGCTTCTGCTCATAGTTTTTTTCAGTCAGTTTTCATTAACCCTTTCACTGCCAAATGTGGCCAAAGGCAAATTTCGACCAAATATCCAAATTTCATTTTCTAAAATTTTGACAGGCAAATAGCACCATGTGTAAGTACAGGAAGAGAGCTTTCATTTGAATGGTCACATCATGGGATTTCGTCCACAGACTCAAAAGTTAGAGTCACCTTACAAAACTCCATCTAGCACTCTGGCAGTGAAAGGGTTAAGAGTTTTCTTTCACTCAGTTTCAGTCGAAGCCGACACTCAAAGAGCCTAAAGAGCGACTGACACAGTAACAAATATAAATCACTGTCTCATTTCCTGCTCATAATACTCTAGCATAGGTCTTCTTTTCTCCAGTTATCTTTTCAAATCTCTTAACTCACTTAACCTATATGTTCAATATCTCCGATCGTGATAATGGCGTGCTAATGAAGCCTGGCTAAACAGCTTATGTGGTACGTACAAACAGCTAGTGCCGGGATGTTATGTTTGTATCAGTTGAAGTGGGTCAATTGAGTTGTTCGGTCCTGATAACCTTTTGCCCCCATCGCCTTGTCAACGGATTGTCCGGTTGTCTTAAAAACCAGCCATATCGGCGCGCTGATAAGGTTAATCCTCTAAAACTGATGTTACAGGATTTTCATCCCATCGACGATTTTTAATTTTAGCGTAGTTTAAAAGCTCTTTGCTAGATAACTTTAGCATCGTGTTCTGTGGAATGCTAGACAATCTTTGTTAGTGCCAACATATTGTGTGTTTGAGGCGACTAGGTTCAAAGACGTACAGAAACATATTGCCACAACACATCAAAAGGATAAGGTTGCATATTCGATTTCAGTGCTGCGACTTCACTGCATTAATCTAATTGTAGTCTCATGTGTCGCCGTGTTTTTATATGAAATCATAGAATGTAATCACTCTTCGAAACTGGCGACTACTCTTTCGACAATATCTTAAGGAGTTACAGCCAACCGAGTTTTAATTTAGTTTGGTTTGGTTTACTCATGACCGTAGAGATTAATTTTCGGTTTACTATATTGCCTCTTTATCATATCTTCCGTCTAGTTATTTGGCTTACGTTTGGAAAATCAATTACGTCTGAAATTAGCCGATTTTATGTCTCGTTAATTCCTATCGTTTAGACACGAAACGCAAGAGTTCATAACCTTCGTATAAGTCTCTGACTGAAAAAACAGGCATTAAGATAAAGCCGCTGTGTCGACAAAGTCACTAAAGAACCAAAGTGATACACTAAACTCGATAGAAATCCGGAAAAATTCTCTGAAGAATTGACTTTTAAACATGCCTTTTTGAATCTAAGGTGTAGTCCTCAATCAACTTGTCAAACTAAAGTTAGAGACACGTTTCATCGCTCAATTCTTGGCCGCAAAGGCCAACTTTCTTGAAATGATAGACTTTTTCTTTTTATCCATATTGCCAGGGAGTACCAGCCCATATCGTGCTCCAGTTTTTGACGTGGGCTAAATCTTTTCTGTACTGATCAGAATATCAAAAACATCAGCTTGGGTTTTCTTTGCGGAAAACTCCTTGAATTCTGTGCTCATCTTATGATAAGTTACTAAGCTTAAAGATTTATGGAGAATATAAACTGGGAAAGAAAGGTTAACTCGATAGCCTCTAGCAGGGCTTAGCCGGTTTGCGAACAGGAAAGGATAATTAAGAGTTACAAGAGTTCTTTACTTATTTGGCGCCATCGCCCTCCCTAAATGGCGTGCCAACAAAAAGTAAAAGCTACTGAGCAAAACTGATACTTTGTGAAAGTGTTTCTTCCGCAATTCCCTCGCAAACAGTGCTTACTGCACTCGCCTGTCCGGAAAAGACAATCCACTGTTAAACGTATGCTTTCTGAAGTCTGTCGCCTTCAGCGTTCCTAAAATACAATTTGCTATGTTTTTGTTTCCTTTCCCGTTATAATGGTAATCAGGGCTCAAAAAAAGGTCTCGTTCGGTAGTTCCGTTAGTCCCGGACTTGTACAGAGATTTTCTTGCTGGGCAATTAACTTTTACAGCTAAGTAACGGTCGCCGCAAGTCATCTTGTAACTAAATAACAAAGACGAACAAAAAGTGGCCCCGGGCAAGCAAAATGTTAGAGCTGTTTGCACAGAGAACAAGCTGGAATTCAAGCTTGTCTCGAGCCTTGAGCAATGCGCTGGCACTGATCCACTTTTATGCTGCTTTCATTTTTTTAAAAAGTCTTGTCAAGCTTATATTTGCTAAATATATAGAGTCATCATTAACTTTGTATATCATCCAAAATCTCTAAACTTGAATGCTGTTTCACCCTATTTTTAAGAAATCCTACACTTTGGCTAAACTTTCCGGCATTGAAAGTTAAGGCGCATTCTTTTACCATCTGCTTTATGCACTAAAGGAGATCATTTCTTGTTGTCGTCGTTGTTGATTTTTTTTCCGCGTTCTATTCTAACCTTGGAAACGTAAGTTTGAGTTAGGTATTTAAATGAATAAAGGGTGGAATGAATCACAGCTTGAGCTGTCTTAAATTTAAGGAGCTACCTTTCTGCTTGTGACTGAACTATTTTTAAAAACTGAGACAGTAAAATGGATAAAGCAGCTGTCAACTAATTAATTGCTGTCAAGTATTTTATCATTTCGTGTGTTTTTCCACCTTAAGCTTTATCCATGTCTAATTACTCAATCACCTTGTCAATGTCTTTTATTAAAGTCAGTTATTTATCATGCAAATGTGATAATATGTTTTTGATTGAGACCACACTGTAAAAATTTCAAGTCGTCTGCAAATACTTTGATAGCGGAAAAGAAAGGTCTGTTTTTGTCCGGACAGCTGGAAAAAATTAGTGGCAAATGGAAGAGAAGTAATTCCATCTATCGCCTTTATTTTAGCAGTAAGGTATTCCGATGGGAGTGCAGTGATATCCTAGAACTGAAACCATCTAAGCCCCACCTTAACCATTGCACGTTAATTTAATCCTTAAAGGTGATGTTACACGAGACTATTCGCAACTACGATTTTGAGCGTAACACAGCGTAGCAATGTTGGAACAATGCTGCAACCATTCGAAACAATGTCGCAACAATGTTGTAATGCTGTGTTGCGCTAAAAATCGTCGTGGCGAATCGTCCCGTGTAGTATCACCTTAAACATTCAAAAGAAAAGGGTTATGATAATTAATAAAATGATCACCAATGGGGAAATACTTTGATCTTTTGTCGAATTCTCTCAGCTATTTCTTAAGGAAATCTATGAAGCTCAGTCTGGAGAATTTGTAAGTGGATATGTCATATTGGGGCTTACAGAGTTAATAGGAGTCCTCACTCACTCTTTAGTTTCTATCGAAGTAGGAAATCCAGTCAAAGTGAGTCTTGGCCCAATGCAAGAGAGAATTAAGCGTCTTGTCTGATATCAAAAGTATTTTCAAATAACTGTACTTATCTTGAATTTCAAGTGTCATTTGTGGTTTTTTCCCACTTTTCCCTGGCAAGTCAACTGTTCTGGGATTTACCGTGCTTGACGTTCATGTTTTCCCGCGCTCGTCACGTTATGCCACCCGCTACACGCTTTCATCCGCCCCAATTGTTCAAGAATATTTTTCTTTCGAGCTCCCCGATTGGTTAAGTCAACTATTTAGGGGTTTACCGCGCTTGACGTCCTTGTTTTCCCGCGTTCGTCGCGTCATGCCACCCACTACACACTTCCATGCGCGCCAAATGGTCAGATGTTTTTCTTTCCAGCTCGCCGATTGGTTGACCTGGCCGAGGATGGACTGTTAAGTCATGGCCGCAAAAACTCACTGCAAATCATTTTCTTTCAGGTGTATCCAGTTCAGTATTAATCGAGGAAGCCGTTGTTAAAAGGCAAAACCTGCTACCTGGCACACAATGGCATAATGTGAGTCATGTAGGCACAGTTGCGAACATCACCTTCTCGTATCGAGTAGTGTGTGAACAGAATTATTATGGCGACTCCTGTTCCATGTACTGTCTGCCTCGTGATGACTCCAATGGACACTATACGTGTGATAGTAGTGGTACCAGAGTCTGTTTACCGGGCTGGAAAGGCTCATTTTGCACCGAAGGTAATAGCTTTGTTTTATTTTGTTAGACTCAGCGCATATTATGTGGTATACTCTTACAGTGAAATTACATTTAACTTACGATTTGTAGGTGTACGCGGCTTTTATCGCTTTCTATCAAAGTGCCTTACGAACAACTTTATTCCAGGCTAAATTTAAAGAGGGCGACTTTCTTTTGGCAACGTTATAACCAGGACAACAGCAAAGATCTGCTCAGTGGCTTTCTCACAATAGTCAAAAGTTACACTTTTATCCGTGGCGTTAAGTTTTGATACCAGTTCCTATAGTTGGCTAAACTATCAAAATTTCAAACTCATCATCATGTTGAAGGATAGTAGAAAATGGATTTTGTCTGCAAACTGGTGTCAACGAAACCACTCTGTATCTATCTAAAATAAGCCTTACAATGTAAGTACCATCTTCCAGATTAACTTTGCTCGGTAAAATTATGACGCGAAACGGAGTCTTGAATTGGTTTTCATACTTTTCAAGTAGCTGACCGAAATAATGTCATAAGCAATTAGTGCAATTACAGCAATGGAAATTCTAAAACAGAACTATAAAACAGTTTAGACCTTACATTAACTGGAATTTTCAAAGTTTTATATACACGGTCGTGCTTCGGGCTGAACAGTTTAATGTAAGTAAGTACAAACTTCGGGTAAAAATTTGGATTTACCTTAAAACAAAATAGCAAATATGTACAAAATGATCGCGCAAACTTATACTTTGTAAAGCAATCGATTCCTGGGTTTCATTTGGTGCGGAGGCAAAAATCGAGTACGAAGTTAGGAAGCTTAATGAGTTTAAATTTTAAAGCTTTGTGAACAAAAAATCCTCCGTTAAGTTTAGTTAAAACAGTTTCCGCACTGAGTTTCTTAGGAATATCGCTTCTTTTGCCTGGTGTCCTTATCTTTTCGTTCAAAACAGTTTTTTTGCCTTCAAAGTTATTCCTTTGTGGAACAGCACTAGCCAATTGCCACTGATCTAACGGAATTTTTATAGCTAGCAAATAGCAATTTTGTGGTGTGCTATTTTTTTGTGCAAGCCTTCCCTGACATTTGCTCTATTGCTAAATTCCCAATAACAAGATTGACTCTTTAAACCTCTTCTAGTTCTCTAAGCGGAAATTCCATGAAACTAAAAGGGCAAAACTCATAGCCAACTTTTTCTCAAGTTTGGCTAAAATTACATGATTTCTCACTCAACTTAACAAACAGAGGTAAAAACGTAACACAAGCTTTTTATGTCTTGCTTCAGCGACTTCAGTCGATACTTGAAAACATTCCACATTCCTGTTCCATCAATTTTTACCTTTTTTAAGAAACTTCTACTTAATATGAATACTTAGTTTTCGCCGTATTTTTCCGTCGTTAGGACCTCGTGTATCTATCGTTTGTTTACCGTTTTTCAAGGATTAGGCGTGTTTTGTTGCTTCTTTCTTCTGTAAGTTTGATTATTACACAGACCAACAATACCATCTGTAAGCTTCTTATTTGAGCTTAGTAATAGATATTCAATAAACGTCGTCATTTTAAATCGAGGGGACACATAGCAAGTCCACGGAACACATATTTAAATTATTGAAAGTCCTTTTATTAGCATCTCAGCTCAGAGCATTTAAATCTGTAGCAGATTTTAACGAGAAAACTCCATTTCTCTGTGAACCTTGATTAGTATGCGCTCTCACGATGTTCAATCGAGTGTGTCGTGTCGCCCAACCCAAACATTTAATCTTAACAGACCGTAAAATCAACAATATTAAACAATATTTTTCGTATTTTGTGTGGGGGTTGTATTGTTCAAGGTCGTTCATTAATGACCTCTTATGCAGAGCACGATAGTGTTATTGTTATTGTTTTGAAACGTGCGTATGCCTCGCAACTGTGCGCTTAATTGGCAACTGCAGCTGGCAATCGTTACGTGCCAGGGCAGGTAGTTCAACAGTTATGTCTCTATTTTATTTTGCCCAAGGGCCCTTTAACACGCGCTTTAGAAAACAACAGTTTGATTAGCCTTTCCTCGCTGTTCTACTCTTGGTGCGTGCGCGTGTAGCGCGTAACGAGGGTGACGCGCGTGGAGAGCCTTGGTGACTCGTCTGTATAATTCGTAAATGATAGGTGAAAGTCTCTTGAACACGCTGATGATGATATGAAATGGGTGTTGACGAATAAAGACGTTCAGTTCTGCAAAATTAAATGTGTTATTCGCTTTGGCAAAAACGAAAAATCTGTAGCATTTGCTGCAATTTCCACATGCACATCATATTTTCTCTGCACTAACGTACTTTCCCTAATGTCCTAGTTGTTTGCCGAGAAGGATGCCACCCAACTTACGGCAGCTGTGTCACGCCGAACACTTGCGAGTAAGTAAGCCAGTTAGCTACTTTCGATGTTAGTGATGCCCTTAATTGGGTGGAAGTCCTTCACACAACGGATGTTTAAAAACATATGGACGGCTTTTACAAACATTCTAAATGAACTAGAAACAGATTTATGAATATGGAAAAAGAGAAAAAAACTGAGATCAAGGGAATCGAGATAATGAAGTGAGTACCAGATCGAAGTCCAGCATATGAAGGTTTCACACAGCACATTAGCGAACAAACCGGTGTATGTCTAATAACCTTTCTATCGTGTTCTTTTATTTCCATTTTATCCCCCCTGGCTTTCCAACAATAACAGCAGATATAACAAGGAAACAATTTTAAAAACTCTTCTTTTAACGTTTCGGCCAATATGTAAAACTTCACGTCAGGTAAAGCCGTACGTACTTTTTTGCAATTGTCTAAAACAAGAGCAGCCATTTGGTCCTCTGAAATAAACAAACGTGAAAATTCATACATATGGTTAAGCTAACCAGCCCCTCAAAACAGCTACCTTCTTAAAAACGTTGTTAGAGATCTTTGGATTCTTAGACGAGTGCGACTACGAGTACGAGATTTTCTCAAAACCAAGTAGCGCACGCGCGTGAACCAGCGTCATTTTGGCGGGAAAACGTGATAGCCGTCGTCATTCTACCGAGGTTTTTAACTATACGTAAAAAAACGTTGAATCAGATCTCGTACTCAGTCTTTCTCGTCCCTGAATCTAAAGATACTTATTGATACTAATGTTAAAACTTTCATCATCTCTTTATAGCTGTGCAAGTGGGTGGAAAGGAGCAAATTGCACGCAATGTCGTAAACAGCCCGGGTGTGTGCATGGTACATGTAGGTCGCCATGGGAATGTAACTGTGACTTCGGATGGGGTGGAATTTCCTGTGATGTTGGTAAGTTTCTCCATTCATTTGTCTGTTTAACCTAAATTTCTCCCAGTTTTCAGTATTACTAGACCAGGGAACATCTCATCCTTATTAAACATGCTATTTTCAGATTTGGAAGTCTGCGGTCGAAAAAAGCCGTGTAAAAATGGTGCAACTTGCACAAACATTCGAGGAGGACAATACGCTTGTTCATGCGCAAAAGGTTATACTGGAAAAAACTGCACCGTGGGTGAGTAGACTTATTGCGACCCATATCGATGTATTTAACAATTATTCCTCGAACCCTAATGGGCTCTGAGTCAATAGCCAATGGGCTATTGACTCAAGGGCGAGAGGAATAATTGTTTCAGTAAAATCCAACTAGTTGTTAAAAAATATCAAGACAAAACAACTTTAGCCAGCTAAAGCTACCCTTTAATCGATTTTTGCCCACCAAATTGCCGGCGCTTTTCGCTACTAGTGGGCTATAACATATAGTGTAGTAGTAGCTCAACCAATCAGAACGCAGCATTGATAATAGACCACTAGTTGGATTTTACTAAAGTGAGATATTCCTCCCCCAGGCAATATCCGATTATTTGATAGAATTTAGAAGGGCCATACACCGTTTATGGCCAAATAAACTATTTGTAAATGTGCTCCAAACTTCTAGTTATTTGTGTCTCCATGAAGTGGACAAGACTGCTGATTCCACCACCTAATTTACCCACCTTGTTACCAACCCCCCTGGGAATGATGCTGGACCCACTAAGAGATCTGCTCACTGGGACCGAGTCCCATCTTTTTTAGAGAGAGATATTTTGGGGAGGGCACAGCGGCTTATTATTTTATCATGTTTTGCATTTTTCAGAAATAAATGAATGTGCCAGTGATCCGTGCTTTAACGGAGGAAACTGTACGGTAAGATGAAATTGTGTGTTGTTATATCATGGTTAGTCTCCCACGCAGACGTTCTATTGGCTCGTCGTGTGACGAACCCCTAAGAACGTCTGTATGGGAGGCGTTATTACGGTCTAATCTCGCGACAACGGCAAAAAAGGGAGTCGCTTGTAAAACGATGTGCTTTCTTTCTTTGAAACTTCCTTTTCACTCGTTGGCGGAGTGGACTGTATTATTTGTGTCATACTAGAGGTAATCATTTATTACGGATCCATGTTCGTCACTTACGGAAAAATTACGGAAACGAAATCGAGTCCGTTCCATTCCATGTCCATTCTTGCCATTCGTAGCAACAGATGACAGGGGACAGTTTCAATTCCTCAATATTGTCCGTTAAATAACAAAACTGGACCATTATTTTTGGAATTTAATTGATGTGAACACACCATTCAGCTTTTAAAAGGGTAGCGAATGGCGTGATATACCCGTTTTAATCTGATTGCAGCATTTTACTTGTTTTGTAGGATCTAATAGGAGATTTCAACTGTTCGTGTCCCGAGGGATATAGCGGGAAACAGTGCTATCCCGACTGTGGGCCCAATGCATGCCATAATGGTGGCACTTGCGTGAATGGTATTCGCGGCTACCATTGCATATGCGAGAAGGGATTTACCGGAAGTATTTGTGAGGTGGTGATACCAACAGTTCCTACGAATCATTCTTCGAGCAATCGTACTACCAATCAGCCGATTAATACTATTGAAAGCACTACAAATGGAACTGTTAATACCACATTGGCAACATCAACAACAACAAAGCATACAACTAAAAATGAGTCAATGGGTAGGTAGTATATAACAGCTGGGAAATGCGAATTCATGAGAGCTTGGAAATGGCCTTAACCGGGCCTTTTGGCTTAATTCTTAACGCTTTCAGGCGCGGGTTTAAGATCAATAGTGACCAAAGACGCAAACGTCTAGGGTGGTCTGGAGGCATGCTAGCCCAGGAACTTTTTTTTTTTAATTTTAACTCCCTAAAGTACCCTTTCCTGGGTTTTCGAGTCTTTCAGATATTATACTACTACATGAGAAATTTCTGCAATTTGATTGGCTTAGAGCAGTGGTATTTCAGCTTAATTTAAAATACCTACATGTGAAAATTACAAACCTTTTGCGGGTAGTAGTATAAACAATTAATAGCATGATTTGTACATGATACTTGGCATAAATACCACTCCTGATATTACAAAATTGTCTCAAATTTCACTCGCCTATCGGCTCGTGAAATTACGTGTAACAATTTTGAAATATCACTCGTGGTATTTATGCCAAATATCACTACAAATCATGCTATTAACTATACCAATATTGCCCAGATTTCAACTTGTAGAGTTATTTTATTATGAAAAGTATATTTATCATGAAAAATCTGGCCGATTTCCGCAAAACGGTGGAAACTGGTGTGGATCCCCGCCTGGCTTTAGATGCGTAAAATAGTCCAAAGATACGTCATGTAATAACTGATTATTTGTTAATGCAATATTTTTACCCGTTTTACAGGAGACACGTACAATTCAGAGAAGAGAAAATCAGGTAGGTTAAACTTTGCATATTGCGGTGCAACAAACTCAACAGGAGACACCGCCCGGGGGTGGGGAGGGGGCGGAATCCCATATAAAATTGACAGGGCATTTTTTGCAAATTTCTTTATGCACAGTGCTAAGCGTTACCTTAATGGACAAATATAGTGACTTTCCTTCCCAAACACCCTAAGTGAGACCAAAATCTGCAATTTACACCCTAAAGCGAGACGACGAGCATCCCGTCATTTTTGTATGGGAGTCCCTACCCCCCCCCCCCCCCCAACCCCGGGGGCCTCCGACCTGCCCCGCTGTATTGTATTGGCTAGAAGACTACAAAAGTGAGACTCCTTTGTACTAAACGTAAGCTGTGATAGGTCCATTTATCTCTTCCGCTCCCAAAAGTGGCCTGAGACACAATTCAACAAAATTTCCGAATTTCATTTTGAAAAAAGCTGATAAACAAATACTACCATGTAAAAGTACAGCCGAAGAGGTTTCATTTGAATGGTCACACCTCGACTCCATTATTCACTTTGCAGTTCCACGTCACGTGTCTTAAATTTAAAATTTGAATTCAATATTCAAAGTTCATGTTCAAAGAGAGAGACCTAAAGCGCTCTGAGTCACAAAATTTTGCTTAAGGTAGACTCTGATTATCCATGATTGATAGCAATGATGATAATTATGATGATGATGTTAGATCTTTGCAATTCATTTTTAAGCTAATGGTTTCATTTCCTTCTCAGGGATCACAAAACAAACCACCTTGATCGTTTCCATTGTGGTCTCTCTTATAATACTTCTTCTTTGTATCGTCGCTTGCATGGCATGGAAATTCTGGAGAAAACACAGGCGAGATCCTGACAACGACACAGCGGGAACCGCTGAACAATCGGCGCAAGCTGCTAATCCGAAACAAATAGACATTGAGGATCCTGATTCAAAACATTGTGCGGGCGCAAGGTCAGGAAATCCTGAAATTATAAGAAATTTCGTTGCTTCAAGACAACAGGAAAAGAATACAAATAAAACGAAAGAGAACCTTGGAGATGAAAAGATTCTTAAAGGAAAAAAGTTCAGAGAAAATACTAAGTAAGTATTAAGCTTTGAGTTGTACTTAAGTGTCAGCGGTAGACTGCAATAGCACGTGCGTCTTGTCACTTTCGCCCAGTTTCTGCGTATCTATCATAGGTAATCAAATACTGCTTTCTGTCCATGAGTTACAAAAAACAACGAAACTAAACGTTCAGAGCACTTTTAAGTGGCTCTTAAACACTGAACAAAGAGGTAGTTTCCTATAAAATGCCAGCGCCTGGGAGATTAATTTGAGTGAGACAGAATACGTTTACGAGTGTATTTTAGATTCAAATTTACGGGCGGGTTTTTAATAGGTGGAATTTTTCTCATCATCTGATCTCATCTCATCTCATCAATCATTCTACTAAACTGGGCGTAAGCAGATGTGGCAATATCTATTCTCGTTGAAAACTAAGTTAAACTCTTGTAGTCTAACAAAATAACGCATCTGGCTTTGGCGTTAACTGTCTACGATCATTAAAACTTGCTGTAAATGATTGTTTTGCAGAGTTTCTTTGGAATTATCTGACTTAACAACAGTAAAAACGACAACGACGACGACGACGCCTCCAACTTCAACAACGAGACGGATGAACTTAGATGAACTGTATCTTCCTAATCGGTGTTTCGACCAAGGATTTTGGCAAGAAGTGGAGCTGGAAATATGATTTAATTTATTTAACTTAAGGTAAATCTTGTACCTGTTTGTCTTTTAACCGCTGCTACTTAAGCTCATTTATATAGGATACGCTTTCGTGAGCGCGGTATGGAAAAGCGATCTTCATAATCGTGAAAGTCTGGGCAACTTTTTGATTTTCTGCAAGAATTGCTCAACATTAAGCACTATTCCTAGGGGGGGAGGAATTCCTTTATGGGACGCTCGTCAGAAAATTAAAATTTAACCCCCAAGGGAGACCAATAAGGGTGTGGTTCAAGCTTAAACTGATCCCTAAGGAGACCATGCGTTACATTTTTGTAAATTCCTTTATGTAAAGCCCTAAGTGATACCTGAATGGGCAAATATAGTGAGTTTTCGTTCAAACACCCTAAGTGAGACCAAAATCTACAATTTACACCTCTAAGCAAGACGACAAGCATCCCCGTCACTTTTATTTGGGAGTTCCCCTCAGGCATTTATTATAGTGTTTATATGATATCCAAATCTTAAAATCGGTCTAAAAGATGCTATGAACTTTCCGTTGTCTGGACATATCAATCGGGAAAGAGAAATGAAAACTATATAAAAACTCGGAGGTCGTAATGGCAAAAAACTGAGGCAGCGATGAAAATACAGTTAGGCTGTCAGACCACAGGCCTCAGTATTTTATCCTTCAGTCACCAATTTTGTTGTTAGTCTATAGTTGTTAGTTATTTCTCGTTAGAAAAATACATTACAAAACCGGTACATAAGGCAGTCTTTTGGCTACAAAATACACAGTGAGTGGGAAAAAACTGTTTAATCAGCGGTAATGTATCCTAAGCAAACGCGAAGCCTTTAATCGTTCGTCCTGGTTAGGTCTTTAGGCGACTAAGTGGTTAGGCTTAACTGGGCTGCTCTATTTCGCATTTTTAAACGCTATCTTTGATTTTTAGACAACGACGTTAACGACAGCGAAATTATGTGGTCTTCGCCATTGGTACACTGATGATCACGTGTCGTGCCATGACGTCACGTGAAGGGCGATGTACATGCTGGGATCAAAGTCTGCATTCCTAGAAAAGAAAAAGAGTGGAAACTGGATGGGATCGCAATGTGATGTGTGATTGGTCCTCAAGGTGAAAATGAAGAAGGTCCCATTCTTAGAGACATCCTTACTTGGCGAGAAAGCAGGACTAAGGCACGAGGGGTCTGTGTGACAAAAACCACAAACAAATTGCTTTGACATCGAAATGCTTTCTGCGTCAATTGATATTTGCTGCTCTCGAAGGTCCTGTTTCTTACTGTGGATAAAGAGTGGAACATTTCTAAGTTGTAAATTCAGCTTTCAGTATATATTTTTACTCGTTTGTCGAAGATCATGAAAACAAAACAAAAAAGCAAAACTTGGCAGGTAATCAAGCGCTGCTGCCTTTCATAGACTCTGAAACGAGACTGAAACAAGCTTACCTTCAGTTCTCCCTTATGAAAAGGGGAAGAAAATTGCTTTGAGAAAATCACAATTACATTGTACAACTTTGATTCAGGCGAAAAACCATGATAGCGTTTTATCATGGTTCAACTTTGAGAAACCAAATTTCGTAGTTCGTCTTCATCTACCCCATTTTGGAGAAGATTATATTTCGCATGTCCAGCCCAGATTGTAAATTTTCCGATTACAGAGAGATGAACAAGGCTGTTATTTATAAAACCCGGTTTACGAAAGTGGTAGGGATATAATATATATAGCCAAATTTGTATGAATTATTAATACTATGTTAGAACCTTCGTAAGGAGATAGTGTAAGGGCCTGTGGTCAATTGCCAACCCGTTGACTCCTTCAAATGGCTAAGTTTAAAATCCAAAAATTTGTAAATACTGAAGAACTAACAGAACCACCGGAAAGTACTGCGAAAGAGCTTTCATCTGAATGGTTACATCTTAGAATTTAGTCATGGTAGAGCGCATTATTACTGAACAGAGTACCATTTTAAATGGCCTTTTTTATGTTAGAGATTTAAAGTCGTCTAAAGTCTGGGACGTTAAAGTCGACTGGTGTAAAAACGCGACGCATTAAAGTAGAAACTGACTCTTCCCAGTCTTCTCTGGATGAGTTGGATATAAATGCGCCTCAATTTACCGTGTCCCGTTTTATACTAGACGCATTTAACACGTAACACGTTCAAGTCGTCGTGTAAGTGCGTCGTTCCGACCCACCTAACAGGAGACCTTAATGTCGTCAGGCGTTAAATACGTCTGTCTTATTTATTTTAGACCACCTGAACGTCTCCTTCTGGCTTTAACATGTCTTGCAGAAAAAAGGCCAGTTAGTGCTTAGTAGCTTTCATTTGAGCGATTTGACTTTTCACCCACAATCCACATTCCATGACAGGATTTTTTTCACTGGCAGTAAAAGGATACCGACTCATAATAATCTGTTTAAGTGCTTAAAACATATGTGCACTTTTGAAGGGCTGTCCAAAGAAACCATATTAATAGCCGAAAGTTCATCAGCTCTTTACTAGCATAACAAATTTTACTTACTTACTTTCACTTGTTATGGATACCTTCTCCCCTTCATCAGATGTTTCCGCTTTGCTGTCATATTTTTTTTTTGCTGGCTTCTGACTTGTTCATTCCATCTACACAGCTAACACTCCATAAGGATTGCTTGCTCGCTCGCAAGTTACATGCTCGCCCGCGCGACAATCCTGAGGGGGTTTTTGCTGGCTTCTGACTGGTTCATTCCACTTACGCTGCTAACACTCCCTCGGGATTGCTCGCTCGCAAGTTACGTGTTCGCCCGAGGGACAATCCCGAGGGACTGTTAGCAGTCACCATTCCACCGTGCGTGGCTTTTTAAAGTTATCAATATGGTTTCTTTTTCGGCAGTCTTTGGAAAACTGCTCAAATCTGTTTTCTTTGCAGAATGTAACACTTCCGTTTCGTCTACCTCTAAGTCGTCATTTATTGATTTAATCATTCAAAGACCAGTCTTTTCCACTTGTTACCCTGGTACAACACATGGGAATTTTTGCTGCTTTTGTAAATTAATGAGGCAATCTTAGGCTAACGAACTCAATTTAAAAGGTTCGGTTCCTTTTTTGCTTTGGCCCAATATAATTTTAATTTTGATTTACTCACAATTTATTGTTTTAAAGTTGGCGCTTTTTTGTGTTATCCGCGTGTACAAAGTTTTCGGCCTTATTTAATACGTTTAAACTGAAATTTTCCTTCTAAATTCTGTACTTGCACAATAGAAGTAACATTCGCTTGACTGTTAATTCTGAAAGATTCTGTCAAGATGTCCAGATCAAAACCTCAGTTACTCTTATTCCTATTTTGACGTCTAAAAAAATAGTTAACCCTTTCCAAATGTTGCTCATTATGTCCGTCTGAAACGTTGGGCTTCAAAGTTTATCAAGAATTGTTCCTTTGATTTTACGAGGAGCAAGTTTTCTTTTTTGCGAACCGTTTCTGTGGGATTTGTTCTTGTTCACTCGGTACTGAACTTAGGCTGTGTCTACACTAAGCCGGAAAGCTTTTCACGTCGAGATTTTGGAAAAGCATGAGCATCATCTGTTCAAACTGCGTCAAAGAGTGGCCCAGAGAGCTATTCGATGTGACGGTCCACGTTCAAGATCGGCAAGGCGCAGATTTGCAGACCGTTACAGTAGCCGCGCCTACATCACTGTTCTCATTTCTAAACAGAAGCCCTGTCTCATGTGATTTTCGTGCCGGCACAAGAGCTATTCGGCATAGTGTAGTCATAGCCTTAAAGGTATTTTTCATAAGATACGCTCTTTGTTTAAGAGTTTTCACGTGCTGTTTGATTCCAGTTTAACACCTCGTATTGTCTGGTGCGTTGTAGCGTTATTTCGCAGTAGTCATTTACACGACATACTTAGCATTTTGAGTGGGTAGGTTTTGATAGATATATATTTTTGTAAATTTTTATATATAATTCGCCAGACAGTTTTCTAGAGATCCTTAGCCCAGCCTAGAGGTCATTTGAAGAGAAATTTAATATATAGAAACAACAACAACAAAAATAAAAATATATGTGCACCTTGACAAATCGAGTGGTTTTGTTTTTAATTGTTACTCGTCAATCATGCCAACTTGTTCCGTAGGATTCCGCCAATCTCTCGCTCCTCCCGGGGGACGAGCGCGGGCTCATTTCCTGAACAGCGGCTGGTAATCGAGTCTACTTGTTGTACCGATGATGACAACGATGATGATAATGAGTTGGTGATTGTATTGGCACAGTTCGTTGATGTGCGGTCTTCTTGCCAGAGGAGTAGAGTTCGATTCTCAGGGGTGACCCTCAAATCCTTGATTCGAACTTTCGTTTCCGTGTAGCTTAAATAAGAACCTAACGATCCGAGAACGGCGACGTCAGTGAAAATGTCGCTGAAAAATTGGCCTAGCGTCTTTTCAAACCAGTTTTGACGTATATTCCAAGTTACCCAGTTACTTATAAAATAGGGAAGTTAGGTCGAAGCAGAATTGAGGGTCCGCGCCTGCGTCGAGGCAGTGATTGTAAAATTTATTACCTTGCCGTAAGCGTGATACACGTGCAGAGGTGTTGTTTTGCTTACTAAATCTAACCTATTTTAGACGTTGCCCTTTAATTGCCGTCACCGTTATAGTTTCGAAAGATCCCTCACCCGTCAAACGGAGCAGTGATGGAGAGAGGGGGAAATGAGCACACCGTCAGCCTCAGGTTGGTTATTGATAATGATAACTAATTCGAGCTACCGACGTACAATGAAGACTCTTTACATTTTACCTCCAAGTAAAACGCAAATTTGTTTACCTATTTAACCCACGTAGGACCTTTTAAAGAACGCACTTTTTCGTGCTTACCAGATAGAACACTGGAATTTGGAAGTCAAGTACTCGTGCCGGGGGCTAGAAAAAACCCTCAGCTTGAACAAGGAAGCCGGAGGTCTTATAAGTCTTATAAAACTCAACCTACATATGGTGTTCATGCTGATGCGAACGATAATGATGATGATGACAATACTGATGATGATGACAGTCCTGATGATAGTGCTGGTGATGGCGATGGAGATTATAATGACGATTATTATTCATTCAGAACGTTTTTCCTTTTTTCTCGTGGCTTAAAATGGCTGAACACAATTCGATAGGTTGTGAGTGGTTATCATTCATTGCAGTGTCATCTAGGACCCGTTGCAGGTATAAAGCTCAAATAGGCACAGACAAAACATACTTACAAGAAATTACATTTATTAGGTTATAAACGTAAGATTTCGATCGTTGCCGTGGCAACATGATGATTGAAAACAAGCCTTAAATTTTGAATTTATAAGGTTTACGCAAAATGCCGTCATTAGTTTTCCTTATAAATTTGCACATAGCTGACATTTATTGACCCCCATATTTTAAAAACAACTTAACTACATTCTAACAAACAGTTTTTGAAATTTTTAAGCAAATAGTGTCAATGAGAAACTTGATTGTGTCACAATTCTGAGGCTCTCATTGACTAAAGTGCGATATCCATAGGATTTCTGCCAAATTTCTTCAAATTTTAATGAGTAGGTTTTAAGATATCGTCGTTTATTTACATTGCCTATCACAGTCGACAAAACAAGCGCACTTCCATGGCTCACTAAGTACGCATGCTCCACACCTTCGCGCGCTGAGATCTTGCGATACGTCGAAGGCGACGAATACAGAATACATTTCTGCTAACCACTTCTGAGCATTTTTCTCAGCTTGTCCTCACACTTTCATCTCTAAAGCTTATTGGCTGCATATCTCCTCATGAGACAGTAAAGGGATGAAGCATTTCTAGAGAAATTGCGTTCAGCAACCTTAAATCACCCGTATAATTTTTCAAACCCAGCTACCGTTGACCATATTTGGACGGCGTTTGGGATATCCAATAAAATGACGACAATAGTGCATGTTATCACCAGAATAAGGCTTGGCATGTTTTGTAAAGAAGAAATAGCCGACCTATTGCCGAACAATAGCAAGAACAGCAAGAATACAATTCGATGGATGACAACTGCTATGCTAGACTACAGACATCCCTTTATATCGATCTGAATTTGCCGAGGAACATTCAAACAAAGACGGGAGCACTAACTTATAAACACGGATCGAAGTAAGCATGTCTTTAAAGTTATAAGAATTATTTTAAATGGAAAATAGAAAAATTGGTTTTGGATGATCTGAAGAATTATGCAGATTTCGGAGGGTGTTATCCGCCTCGGGCTGATCACGGCCCGAGATCTGCATAATTTTTCGAATTCAGATCATACTCGGGCGCATTCAATAACGAAGTCTAGGTCATTTAAATCTCCCGAACAAGGCTTGAGGAGAAACCCTCCTCAGGGGCGGATCCAGGATTTTTTTAGGAGGGGATGACTCGTCTCTTGCTCTACTTCAACACCAATAAACCACATAGTTTTATTTTTTTGGCAGAATACTAGTTGTATTAGAAAACCGCAGGTCATCTCAAGGGGGGGCGCACCCCCTGCACCCTCCCCCTAGATCCGCCCCTGCTCCTATGGAAGACGGACGACTTGAAGGCCTTAAGATGTCGTTTTATTTCTTCTGCTGTTTACTTCACAGTTAAATTGTATCACTTAATTTGGAAGCGATCCTCATTATAGAAGTAACAAAAGGTAATGGAGGGTGGGGTAGGATACTTACTTACGGATTAAGTTTGACAAACCCTGTGCCAGCTGCTTTATCGGCTGCTTGCTTATTTGATACTAGTTTGCCTATAAAATAATGATACTGACTTGCGCAAATGACCACTACAGAAAATACCATAACATACCATAATGCTCTTTGTTTGTCACGCCAAAATTTTGCATAAGCATTGTCTTCAGTTTCTCTTGGGAGTTAAAATGGCCCCAAGTGAAAACTGAAACCAATGGTTATGCAAAACGTGGGGGTGACAAACAAAGAACATTATGCCATGTTATGGTATCTTCTCTAGTGGTCAATGCTCTTGTAATAATCAATTAATTCAATTCAGATGTGGCTTGATGTTCAAGTCATGATTCTATAGTACAACCATAACGAAGAGCAGAAATCATTCTTCCCTTTCGGAACCAACCGTGCACCGGAAGCAACGAGCATCGTCAAAGACTGAAATTAGAACAGGAACCAAGCTCAAAAAGAAGGACATTACAGGCATATACATTTTGGATTGATTGACTTAATGGGCAATGCAGCTAAACAGTGTATTCACCAAGCTCGTTTTTAAGTGAACACTGGACGAAAAAAAGATTTCCACAAATCTGCTGCTTGCAAATATGTTACAATTTGTTAAAAACTGAGAATTAAATCTGAGGCAAAGATGGGGATTTAAATTGATAAGTGCATAATGTTTAAGTGTCCCGAGCAGATTTGCTAAGGGCCATTTCTCTCTATCGATGACGTGTCAATTAAGATCAGAGGGGAACATTAGAAGTGAGATCTAACTATCTGTAAACTTGGATCTTTGGAAAGCAGCTGGAAGACTGAAGATCCTTTTCCGCTACGCGAAAACACATGCCTTCGGTCTAACGACTATCCCGGATTCAATTCCGACTAAAGAAAACTCGAAATCGTCTGGGATGACAGGGGACGAATCGGGAGAATCAGTGGTGTTTCTATTTTCTCGTCGCAGATTTCTACGATGGTCGACGATCATTAATTCCGGGCATTTACACACTTTTATTGTCGGGGATGTCGGAGTTGTTGTTGCTAGGTTCTAATCTTCCAATTGCTTGCTTCGAATCATAGAAATGCTCACGTTGCATACAAACCCACACGCCATTCAAGGTAGGTCCACACTAAAAGATGAGAGGAAAACGGGCCGTTCCGCGAACTCAAAGACAGAATTAACACTGTATAGCACATGAGCAATCAATGTGCACATTTCTTGTGCAAATGATGATACCAATTGACCACACTATGGCTAGAGACTTGTTACTGGGCTGCCTGTGCGGCCCAGTCATAAAATGGGCTTTCGGTCGTCTGAGGCGAAAAACGGCCTCCCGGGGGAGGGAAGACACGAGGGTCTGGTACCGAGAAATGATGTTCTCGCAAATGGTTTCATATGATTTTCTCTTGCACGAACCCTTGCACGGATACTTTTTGTACCTCGTCTGCGCTCCCTCTGAAAAACCCACAAAGCGTTGCGAACCTGAAGAAGGCTATTTGCGTTGTTCGAAGCGATTCGATCATGGGAGTCACTCTATAATTTTTTTATTGTTCGAGTTTAAGTCAGTTAGATGATGCTGGCGCTGGGAAACTCAGAGAAATGCTCGCGTTGCATTCAAACCGACACGCCGTTCACGGTAGGTTCACACTAAAAGATGACTGTGCTAGCGTCAGGTTTGGAACGCCGTGGCCGCTTCGTGAACTCAAAGAGAGAATTATCGATCGATGTAGTACATGAGCAATTAAGAAGCACAATTTATGAGCAAGGTATTTCACCAGTTGACGACACTATGGCTGAAGACTTGATTTTAAGCCTTCGTAGTCAGTGAAGCGAACAACTCAGTTGCCGATGAATGGCACTACGCACGTCCATGAGCGAGGGACGTGACAACTTTGCCATGTTAGAAGACTAGCTTATCCTTTAAATATTTCCTTCTATTTAATGCAACACACGCCACTTTGGAGGTCTAAATTTCGGATACTGAGGATAGAGGAGACACGGACAAAAATAGGGACTCTGAGAATTTCGCACACAAGTTTAAAGCTTCACCGGGACATCCCATCCGGGAGCTTCACAGAGAGTGACTTGAGGAACATAGGAGCTATTACTGACAAGGTTTGGTGACTGAGTAGAGCATACAAGTGTAGCCCACGTCGAGGTTTCAGGGGGTTTGCTTTTGTTTGTATTTGTATCTTGCTAAGCTTTTATCATTAAATTTGTACAAGATCTTGTGATCACAATTCTGTGTTTTCGCCCATTCAGCAAGCACGCTATATTGATGTCGGCATTAGCGAGTTTCAGAAACATGCCTTTGAAAGTTTTCAGCTCTCGTGATGTTTCT